TGTACAAACTACTGTATAGTAACTGGTAACTTTTTTGTTTGAGTGTGCGGGTATCCAATGCAAACCCTCAAAATTCCAGACAAGCCCTTCCAACACCCATCAGAACCCCTTCTGGATATCGCAGATTCCTATACCTGTGGTCGAAATGTGGTGTAATGTGGGCGGTTGTTGTAAAGGGGGGTCAAAACAACAGACGGGGCTCCAGTTTTTGCCTCTACTACAGGGGGTAGAGACAAAGTCCTGATTTCGCTGGTGCCTTTGTCTCTACCTCCTGTAGTAGAGGCAAAAACTGGAGCCCCGTCTGTTGTTTTGACCCCCCCCCTTTTTCAACAACCACCCAGCCTACACCGCATTTCTATCATGGGGCAGTTGCTGTGCAAACCATGGCTGGCACTTCTCGAAACTCTGCAGGCACCCTATGCGGTCGCCGGAAGCATCCCCAATTGCTTCTAATTAACAACAAGTACGGGCTGCTGTTTTTGTCTGTACCAACAACAACAACAACAGTAACAGTAACAGTAACAGCAACAGCAACAGTAACAGTAACAGTAACAGTAACGGTAACGGTAACGGTAACAGTAACGGTAACAGTAACAGTAACAGTAACAGTAACAGTAACAGTAACAGTAACAATAACAGTAACATAACAGTAACAGTAACAGTAACAGTAACAGTAACAATGACAACAACAACAACAACAACAGCATCAGCTGCAATCCATCAGGTTAGAAGTAGCCCATCGCAGCAAATTTTGCCAAACGATTCTTGGGCAAGATTTGCTGCGATTGCCTTGCTATTGTTTATGTTAAATTCAAGGAACAGCCAATCGCAGCTAATTTTGCCAACCGGCTCTTGGGAAACATTTGCTGCGATTGGCTTGTTCGTGGTTGTATGTAATTCCGGAAACACCCAATTCTTTCCAACCGATTCTTGCGCAAGATTGGCTGCGGATGATTTGTTAATGCCTAGATGGAAATCAAGAAACAGCCAATCGCAGCAAATGTTGCCAACCGGTTCTTGTGCAAAATTTGCTGCGATTGCTGTGTTTGTGGCGATATTGGAATCGAGACACAGCATAGAACAGCAATTTGCGCTAACCGAGTCTTGGGCAAAACTGGCTGCGATTGATTTGTGAGTGGTTATATTGAAATCAAGACGCAGCCAATCGCAGCAAATTTTGCCAACCGATTCTGGGGCAAGATTTGCTGCGACTGATTTGCGAGTGGTTATTTTGAAATCAAGACACAGCCGATCGCAGCAAATGTTGCCAACCGACTCTTGGGCAAAACTTGCTGCGGTTTGTTTGTTAGTGGCTGTTTTGAAATTAGGCAGCAGCCAATCGTAGCCAATGTTGCCAAGCAATTCTTGGGCAAAATTTGCTGCGATTGAATTGTTCGTGGTTGCATCAAAATCAGGAAACAGGCAATTGCAGCAAATTTTGCCAACCGATTCCTGGGAAACATTTGCTGCGATTGGCTTGTTCGTGGTTATGCTCACTTCAGGAAACACCCAATCGCAGCAAATGTTGCCAACCGACTCTTCGGCAAAATTTGCTGCGGTTGATTTGTTAGTGGCTGTGTTGAAAATCAAGAAACAGCCAGTCGTAGCAAATTTTGCCAACCGATTCTTGGGCAAAATTTGCAGCTATGTGTGCGAGCGGTGACAGAGGGCAACGAAGTGATTCTCGACACTGCGGTGCTGGTGTGACGTTGCTGCCGACGCACATTTTCGCCGAGGTCGGCTGCGAGAGCAGGGCGAACGTCGCCGTGGTGGATGTGCAATCCTCGCGCATCCCGCAAGCTGCAGTGCGTGAAGGACTGACATTCGTGGTTGAGGGCTGTGACGGCGGAGAGATCGTATTCCGAGATAAACCAGTTCTGGCACGTGTCAAGCAGCCCCTCCTGTGCGTTGGAAATATGTTCAAAGATCGTTGGTTGCCCCGTCCTGAAGCCGAGCATCTAGTGATGATGCTACACATTTCAGGACAAAAGAGGCACAGGTAGAATGGTCGCTGAGCTGGGCGAGTCCTTCCTGGCTACTTTGAAGCGCCAAGGCTGGCAACAGACTGAATGAGGATGGTCAGTCTGCTCGTGTGAGCGAGACGCCAAGACCGCCAAGATGATACTGTTGACCCCAAGGATTTGCATGATCCGGAAGTTCTGCCACATCGCCACACTTTAGCGCAGAAGAGCGGCTGAAGATACTCAATATTCGAGTGTGGTGATTGCTGGGAGCAGAGCCACAGCCTGTGAAAGTGATCGGAGGGAGCCCCAGCATCGTGATTACCATCCTAACCGCATTCCCGGTCGACCCTGACTCGCTAGAAAGATCCCAAGTTTCCTTGGCGAGTTCCTGGTGATGCTGGACCTTCTGGTGGTGGATGAGCTTCAGCAGGAACAACGTGACGTGAAAGGAAACCGGTTCTAGGGCCTGAGTTGCGAGGGGTGCGTGTAAGACACAAGGAGTTTCGTGAAACTTCGAGCTTGAAGAATCTCAGATGGGCATGCAAATTTCTGCAAATCCCTCAATCCGGGAAGAAGGCTGCTTTGCGGGACGGCCTAAAGAAGGAGGTTGCCATGAGTCAGTTGAAAGTGGCAGCGCAAGCAAGCGATGCAGTGGTTGAGGCATACACACCGAGCGTACGCCAAGGGCCCCTACCGGTGAAACCCGATGCGCAAACAGTGATGCTTCATGAGATGATGCACATCCCTTGGATGGACTGGCGTGAAAGCTGCCAGGTGGCCGAGAGGATGCCCATCCTGTTGCCGAACCTAAGCGACAGGTCAACGTGATCTTTATGCTCAAAAGGAGGGCGACTCAGCTCTTCAGGAAGGACACCCCTTGACGACGCATGTGGTTTCTGTGTGCCATGCAACCAAGTGCGCGATTTGCACTCCTCTTGGGTCGAAGTCGCCTGAAAACGCGAAGCATGCAGTAGAGGAAGTAGTGAAGGTGGTTTCGGCTTCCACAATGGGGCGCCTGCGTGCGCTGGTTCGACGACCTCTTGGCTTGCTCCAGCGTGGTCTGGGCCGCGAGGAACTTTTCACGTTGCTGGCCCGGCGCCTGGAGGTTGTTCCGCTCAGCAAGGTTCGAGCTTTTCGGTGTTCAGGTTGCGTAACAAAGCCGCCGTTTTGAGGGCCTGCACCACATGCCTGCATCTCGACCATCACGTCCAGCTGGGGGTTGATCTTCTCCAAGAACTCCACCCGCCCCGACAAGGTCACCTGGGATCACCTGGGCAGGGGACCATGGTGACCTCCATCATGTGGATGTCCGAAGCAGCGGCCTTTTCCTTAACAGGTGCACCCCCCTCAGGGACAAGCTCACCTGTGGAGGGCACAGTTGCCAATTGTCACTTCGATACCATCAAGCAGGTGTGCCCGACTGGCGTTGGTACCTAGCTTGGGTAGTTTCCGTCGTGTTCAAAGGTTGCGGGGTTGAACTTGACATCAAGAAGCTGCGACCAAAGTGAACTGCTCCGAGGAAATCTTGGCAGCGAGAACTTGTTGTAAAGTCTGCACCACGTCTCGAAACCATTCGCATCTTCAGTCTCCCCGAATCCTTTACAACTTGCGAAATCAATTATGTAGTTTCCGAAAGGAAAGTACCCGTTGGGCGCTTGTTGCGGCATCTACATTAGCCGCATCAAGAGCCAGTTGCAAAATGTCCTACACGAACTCATCGCCGTTCGAACATCGAAACCCATGCCTGAAGCTCCATGACCTCTTCCCAATCTGCCGTCTGTCCTGAGACATTTTCCAGGAAAGGATAGCCGAAGCTTCCCGGCAAAGTCTCCTTCGCCTCCGAAGCCCAGTCTCGTTGCAAAAGCTCCTAGGAGCTTTCAGCTCCGCTATCATGCCAAAGTAAACATACATACATTCTTTCTTTCATACGCTGCAGAGGAGATCCGCTTGGCGAGGCTGTTATGACAGGGAGCCACCCCGGCTGCTGTGAGCCATGTGCTTTTGCACATGTCGGTGAGAAACGTGCACATACATACATACATACATACATACATACACACATACACACATACATACATACATGCATACATACATAAGTACGTACATACATACATACACACATTGCATACATACAGACAGACAGACAGACAGACAGACAGACAGACAGTCAGAGAGACAAAGAGACAGACAGAGGGAAAAGACAGACAGACAGACAGGCAGGCAGGCAGGCAGGCAGGCAGGCAGGCAGGCAGGCAGGCAGGCACACGGACACACAGACACATAGACACATAGACAGACACGGTGACACACAAACAGACACAGAGACACACACGCAGTCAGACAGTCAGACACACAGACAGACAGCCAGGCAGCCAGGCAGGCAGACAGACAGACAGACAGCTTCCCCTGCTCTAAGAAGCGTGGAAATGGTGCCCAAGTGCGGAAAAGTACGATCTATCCATAGAATCCCTCTTTCCGGGTAAGAGTAAATTTATATGCAGATGGGCGCCTGCCTTCAGACCGATGTCTATTCAAATTTTGGATAAACTCCCGCCTCAAGGATGGCTCCTGCCTTAAGAGCAAGGCGTTATCCAAATTTTACATAGAACCTCGTCGTAAAGGCAGGAGCAAGGTTCTAAAGGTCGGATGGGCTCCTTTAAGAGCAAGGTTTGATCAAACTTTGGACAAAATCCCGCCTCAAGGGCAAGAGCAGGATTCTATCCAAACCTGTTCTATCCAACGTTCGGATAGAATCCAACCCTAAGGGCAGGAGTTGGTATCTATCCAAAGCATATCCGAATTTGCAGAATTTCGCAAAAAAACAAACAGACAGACAGGCACACAGACACACCGACCGACCGACCGATCGACCGACCCACCGACCCACGCACGCATGCTCATGCACGATCATGCACATTCGCATATGCGCATGCGCACACACACACACATACACACAACATGCGGTGTGATATGATGAATCAAGATGATGCTGAGCAGTTGCATCGTGCAGAGTGGATTCTAAGCTGAGTGCCCTGCACCTGGTGGTTTCTGGCATTCGGAGTTGGTGGGACTGGGGCGGCCTGCCCACAAAGGCAGCCGTGCTCCCGCGCAACCGCATATTGGCATTCGTCCAAGACAGCTTAAGCAAAATCAGCTCCTCGGCTGCATGCTCCGTCTGCTTTTGCGGCTCCTCTCGTCCCAGTGAGTCAGAGAGCGGATCCTTCCCCCTCTGCGCTCTTTCCTGAGGCCCACACACGTGAGGCCGGCGTGGACGGGCAAGTCGCTGCCCTCACTGAGCGGAAGTTGAAAGAGTGGCATGGCACTATACGGCAGTGACGTAGCTCGTCATTGTTTTTCACATGCATCGCCAACAGGAGGGAGGGGCGGCGACACTGCTCACGAAACGGACCGATACACTCCGATAGCTCAACTACATGGCTGGCCCGATGACGCACACGCGCCCACCCCTCTTGCACCCCAAAACACCAAAGATAGCGAGCAGATAGCACGACACAACTGCAACAGGAAAGCCGACACGCAGATGATAACGAAACAGAACATAGCTGGCAGTCATAGTGCCCAGCATGAGGAAACTGACGCAGACTGCAGATCCTTCAAAAAAACGGTGACTAGGAAAGTTCTTCTTCTCGCTGCTGTGTCTCCGCCCCTCCTTCTGCAGTCTTGGGGGTCGTGAGGTGCCGCCGCGGTGTGTGGGGGGGGGGGGTCTTGGTGTAGTCTAATCATCTAATTAATCCCCCTGCCTGCTGTGCTTTGGTGTATTCACGGTGTCGAATCCCCTTTCCTCCCGTGCTTTGCGGTGTGCCCTCCCTCTGTGTTGATCCCTTGCCTCCGGTGCCTGCGCAGGAAACGCACGAAGCTCAAAGCTCGGTACGCGCATTCGGCGGCGAGGCCTGCGAAGATGAAAACTCGGTACGTGCGTCCGGCCGCCAAGCAGATCAAACCTCAGAGCGCGCATTTGCCGGCGCACGCGAAGCGCCCAGCGGCAGTGGCGGGCGGCGTGAAAGGAATGACAAGCTGCGGTGCCGGGGGGTACGGGGGTGGGGGGGGCGGATGCAGCCCCCGCTCACCCCAACCCTACAAGACCAAACCACGGGCGGGCGGGGAGCTGGAGACGCTAGACGCCTGACCCTATATGTGCAGGAGAAGTCGAACATGACCTCCTCGCAGTGCCAGTGCAGACTGCACTCCAACGGCTTTCCCGAGGCTTGCCTGATTCGAAGAACATGTTCGCGATGCACGATATGAAGCTCGGCAGATACGCTACCAACAAGGCCAAACCATATGGATCCTGATTGCACGCAAACATGCGGAGTCCTCACTGGGATCCCGCTTAGGGAAATTTCTGGTGCAACCATCTGCGAGCCGCCAGGTCCCGGACACCTCTGCCTTCGGAGACTTCGGTGCGTGCCATGCCTGACTATCTCAATACTGCGCTAGGCTACGGCTCTGCCAACAAAGGGGCTACATCGTATTATCCGTTCAGTAAGTCGACCACTCTCTCACTCTCTCTCTGTCTCTCTCTCTCTCTCTCTCTCTCTCTCTCTCTCGCTTGCTCTCAGCAGCTTGACCTGCGAGGCGAGTAGCTCGCTCCTCTGCTGCTGCCTTTGTCGCGGAGCTTCGGAGTCGAAATTACTAGCAAGACGCCTGGACGCCTGGTAGCAGGAAAGCAGTGGCCCCGACGTGAAAAGCTGCAACAAGGGTCGGGCAGCATCCCTGGCAGCTCTTACTGCAAGGCACAGGACCTGTTCAAGGAAGCGGCGCAACATCCGCCCTTTGCCTTACAGACTCGCTGGACGTGACCTGTCAATTCGCGGAATCGGAAGCGATGTCATCCTGTCCTCACTAGTGCAGTTTGGCCTGTGTAGGGTAGGGGAGCTTCTGCGTCGGCGGCTCGTGGGCGGCGGCGGCCTCCGACCGTGGAGCCTGGCTGTTCCTTTGCAGGGCACAGGAGGAGAGAAGTGGAAGTGAGGGCGGATGGCAGCTACGAAGCTGTCGCGTTGCCAGGGCACGGCTCCGGGAAGGCGCCGAAGTCCGAAGGCGTCGCTTCCAGTGCACGGCGCTTGGCAGGGCCCTGCAAAGGAACGCAAACGGCGGCCGGGAAAGGGCCAGGGGGCCATCGGCCATGGCGGCACTTCTTTGCCCTTTCCTGGCGCTGTGCACGCCGCGCCGAAGCCGCCGCCGTCGCCGCCGGCTCAGCGGCCGTAGATGCTCCCGGGGCGGCTGCAGCCGTGCCAGGAGCCACTCCTCGCCATGCGTAAGACACTCGTTACTCCGGCTGGCTTGCGGCCGAATCCTGCTGACGTGGAGGACTCCCGTGTGGAGACCATGAACACCGCAGAGAAGTCCTGCAGCAACAGCCGTCCTACAAACTTGGTCGTAACTGGTCGTAATGCGATGTCCGAGTGATGGCAGGTCACAAGAGAAAGTTGATGTCGCCCAGAACTTGTGGACTTTTGCATCTTTCGACATCCGAGCAGTAGCAACTGCTCGCGGAGCTTTCACAGTCTGAAGGCCGAATCTCAGTCGAAGGGACCACAGAGCCGCCCAAGATCGCCCAAGGTATGCAAGAAGAACACAAAACCTGAATCGACAAGACGGCCGACCGGGATGGATTCGAGCCGACTTCCGACCTTTGCAGGACTCTTTCGAACGGTCCGCATCCTCGCGTCGACATCCTTGAGCCGCCCTCCGTTGGCCTCACCCTGCCTCGCAAAAACCTGCATCTGCTGCTGTCGTTGTGGAGTCAGTTCAATATTCCTGAACAATCGACACAAACCGGCTTCACATTGCAGGATCTCCATGTCTATGTCGGTTTATGTGACTCTCTCCCTCTCTCTCTATTTATCTCATCTCATCGTATCGCATCTTTCTTTATCTACAAATGTGTATATACATATCTATATATATATATGTATTATGCATATAGGGCCCGAATCGCCTGCGCAGGGCAGGAATATTGTAGGCCCCAGCACCCGCCATGGGTGCGTCTGCCGGCTACGGGGAAGCAGCGTATAGTGGCAAGTGTGCCATGCACAAGCTGGGCATTCAGGTTTTGCCCTCACCCGACATGATGGCGATCATGGACGCACAAGACACACTGTGTAAGGAGACTTTGTTGAGCATTCGTTCGGAGGACATGCTCACAGACTACACAGCAGATGAGTTTGCGACTGGCTTCAAGAAGAGGCCGGCTTTCCAGCTGCGCGGCATCAAGCAGAACAGACGCTTGTCATGCGAGAGAGAGTGGATCCCCAAGCGGCAACCTGGCAGCTCATGCCCTTCACCTGTTGTGATGGTGTTTATGGGTTCGAAGGACATGCTGTGCAGAGTGCCCAAGTTGAACACGGGCTGGGAGGACACGCTCGCACATTTCACCATAAAGGAATCTGCGACTGGCTTCAAGAAGTCGCTGGCTTTCCAGCCGCGCGGCATCAAGCAGAGCAGAGGCTCGTCACGCGAGGGCATCTGGACCACCAGGCGGCAACCTGGCCACTCATACACTTCACCCGATGTGATGGTGCTTATGGGCTCGAAGGACATGCTGTGTTGAGGACACGCTCGCACACTTCACCGGCTTCAAGAAGATGCCGGCTTTTCAAGGCGTTGGCTTTCCAGGAGCGCGCCATCAAGCAGAACAGAGGCTCGTCGGGCCTTCGATCTAATGACGCTGACTCCGCCATCCTGACTTCGCAGTTCCTGTTGATATAAGCGAATGATGCTGGAGCGCTTTAGATTTGCGTGCGGAGGTCCTATGGCCTTCATACTAGGCTGAGTTTGATGTCCCGACATCACCTCGATGAAGGTGTTAGACATCCTGGGTATTGTAACCGTGTAGGAATGGCCTCATCTGATACCCATGAGGAAGATCCTGCACCTCTTAAGGTCCGATATGTGGATCGTATCATGTTTGGCGCTTTGATCGCCGATTACGGAATACGAAGCACCATTTGCTTGCCGTGCCATTTTCAAGCATCGTCTATGTGCAATCGTTTTGTTTTTGTCGAAGGAGCGGGACAGCTTTTCCTTCGCTGGCTCAATCCCGTCTCCTAGTGCGAGTCCACACTCGTGACAGTCAGATTACTGGTCCGCACTAAGCAACTTAATTAAGTGCATGCCAAAGGGCTGCGACCTCATGGACACAACGCCCGAAAGACGTGAAAAAAGATGTGATGTATTATGCATATACATACACATACACATACACATACACATACACATAATTTTCATCTACATCTACATGCACAGGTACATGTGCATATACATATACATGTTTATTAGTATTTGTAAGTATGTATTTTTAACTGTTCTTGATTATTGCGCAGTATTTCCCCAAACAAGGAACTGTTGGGGTCCTCTCCTCAGAAGAAAAGGGAACGCGCCTGGCGGGATGGGTGGCACGCGGCTCGGGAGCTGGGGGCCCGCGGAGTTTGGATCTGTGGCACGTGGCTCGGGACTGGGGGCCCGCGGAGTTTGGATGGGTAGCACGCGGCTCGGGAGCTGGGGGCCCGCACAGTTTGGATGGGTAGCACGCGGCTCGGGAGCTGGGGGCCCGTGGAGTTTGGATGAGGCATGTGTTGGGAGCTGGGGGCCCGCGACCTTTGGTGGCAGGCCCGCGGAGTTTGGATGGGTGGCACCGGCTCGGGAGCTGGGGGCCCGCGGAGTTTGGATGGGTAGCACGCGGCTCGGGAGCTGGGGGCCCGCGAAGTTTGGATGGGTGGTACTTTCGATTTTTGGCTATGGTTCGTGGTCTTGTATTGTTATGAACCATAAACATCATAAACGATTCTATTAGTCCGGAAGAGCCCGAGAATATATTTTCCCAGGCCTGAATAATGCATTTGGTGGTGCTGCAAGCAGTATTTTGCGGCGCTCTCAGCCGGCTCCCTTGGTATTTACAATAGGAAACCATGGAAAATAAAACAAAACCTATGGGTTTTTGTATTTGCAACAGAAAACAATTGAAAATAGCGGAAAACCATTGGTTTTCTGCTATCTTACAATTGCAAACCATTGAAAATAGCAAAAAACCTTTGTCGTTTTAGTTCAAAACCATTGAAATCAGCAAACAACCTATGTGTTTTTTAATATTTCCAATGGAAAACCATTCAAAATTGCAAAAAACCTATGTGTTTCTCTGTATTTGCGATTGAAAACCATCATTTTGGCAGCTTCGATACACGCATTTGGATGTGTTTTGAAGGACACATTGCCTCTTCTTTTGCTTCGACACAGCACGAGACCTGCTCTACTTCCAGCCCCCTAAAATGCGTTTGGGCATGTGTCCCTTTGCTGTGGGCTTGTCGGAAACGACCAAAATGCTCCTTTGATTTTCGAAAATGCTCTTGTGTTGCTATGGCTTTCCTTGATAAATATCGCACAAAGCCTTAGATTCCGCGAAACCAACAGAGCGCAACTTAGCCGTCGGTAGAAAGCCACAGGCAAATGCATTTTTCCAGCCCTGAAAAACGCATCTGGCTTGTCACGGATGCTTATGCACTTGTGGTCAGTGTCCAGGCACCAATCTAATCTCGATGTTTGGCTTTGCTTTCGTGGCCTTGGATTGTTATGAACCATAAACGATTCTATTAGTCCGAAAAAAAACAAAGCCTATGGGTTTTTTGATATCTGCAACAAAAAACAATTGAAAATAGCGGAAAACCCATTGATTTTCTGCTGTTTTACAATTGAAAACCATTGAAAATGGCAGAAAAACCTTTGTCTTTTAATTCAAAACCATTGAAAATAGCAAACAACCTATGGTGGAAGTCGGAAAGTTGAAACGTGTCCACAGGAGCAACTTGACCCCTAGCCAAAATTCCAACTTTGATCTCGGAGGCTAAAGTTGGAACATGGTCAGAAGCCCGCCAAAGGGAAAGTTGGAACCTGTATTGCAAAGAGATAACAGTTGCAATTACTGCGACCGCACCACAATTGCTGCGACCGCTCCAATATTGCAAACAGCAAGAAACTGCAATCAATACGACCGCTCCAATATTGCAAACAGAGGGGAATTGCCATTACCACGACCGTTCCAGTGTTGCAGAGAGAGAGAAACTGCAATTACTCCAACCGCGCCAGTCTTGCAGAGGAAGAAGCTATAATTATTGCGACCCTTCCAGTATTGCAGAAAGAGGAAAACTGGAACTGCTAGGACCCCTCCAGCATTGCGAGATAGGACCTGAGATAGAAACTGTGGCAAAAAGGGAATGTGCAAATAATTACTACGGCCGCTCCAGTATTGCAGAGAGATGCGTGTACGGGGACCCCACGACAATATCGCTAGTCAGTGGTATGATCCCATGGATCGTCAAAGGACATGAACCGCACACTCGGGCAATGAAGCCTCCCCATGCTTCTGTATATAGGCGTGTCTGTGTTGGCTCAAACTCTCAAACCCTCCCTCCCAACTCGCCCCCCGCCCCGCCCCGGTTCATGGGGTTGCGGTTTGCGTGTGGGGGTGGTTTCGTTTCAAGGCTTGGTTTAGGGTTTAGGACATACCTGCCTCGGCCCCCCGAAGGGGGAAACCAGGCGTAGGGTTTCGCCGAGGTCCCCAATTTTGCAGCGGAAATCCGGCATAGGGTTTAGGGCCTTGCTCCCCAAATTTTAGGGGAAAGCGGGCTAGGTCGGGTTCAGGGCCCAGCGTTTAGTTTTATGTTTTTTGGGTCCCTAATCAAGGGAAGCTGGGCTTAGGGTTTAGGTTAGTGCTAGGTTAGGTTATTTCCCCCCCCCCCCAGAGGTGCCCCCCCACTTCCAAGCATAATGATGTCCATATCATCCATGGCCCGACATTCGTACCATCCACGCTGGGTTTTCTAGCCGGTGCAGTCCGAATATTCCCGCTTTGGAACATAATGCCAAAATTGGAGCAAAATGCATTTAGGCATGTGTCTCTTTGCTGTGGGCTTGTCGGAAACAGCCAAAAGATCTGCTCCAAATTTGCAAGGAAGGCCATCCGAATGCATTTTTCCAGCCCCCTAAAATTTACATTTGGGCATGTGTCTCTTTGCTGTGGGCTTGTCGGAAACGACCAAATGCTCCCAGCCCTGAAGAACGCATCTGGCTTGTCACGGATGCTTGTGCACTTGTGGTCAGTGTCCAGGCACCAATCTAAATTTTTGGCTTTGCTTTCGTGGTCTTGGATTGTTATGAACCATAAACGATTCTATTAGTCCGGAAAGAGCGCGAATACATTTTCCCAGGCCTGAATAATGCATTTGGTGGTGCTGCAAGCAGTATTTTGCCGTGCTCTCAGCCGGCTCCCTTGGTATTTACAATAGGAAACCATGGACAAAAAAACAAAACCTATGGGTTTGTTGTATTTGCAACAGAAAACAATTGAAAAAAG